TTATTTCCATCTTGTTGTCGGGACTGTTTTAAGAAATCTAACAGGCAGCCGTTTTCTGCTAGCTCTATTATAACGAGTAGGAGGTCTGGAGATAGAGAAATGAATGGAATGAGACCAATGGACTTGTCTAAATTAGTTTCAAAGGTTAAGGGCGCCAAGTTGCAAAATTTTCAGTATTTCGGTTATGACATGGAAAATTATGTTCCTTATAAGGAAATACAGCAAATGTTAGGTTGGTTAGATGAAAAACATGAAAATGGAAGAAAGGAACGAGGATAGCAAAGAATGAAGAAGATTGACTCTGATTGCAAATGACGAGCTTGGGAAATTAGGCCGTTCTTCTGGATGTGTAATATTACTCTTGACGTAAAAACACAGAATATTAGTTTGGAAGGGAAGACTGAATGAGGAAGAAGCGAGGATGGTCAAAGATGAAAAAGATTTAAAAGGGTTGCTAAAAAAAATTTCAAGTTCCACTAAATGTGCATCAGCTTCTTTAATCCCCACCAACTACCAGAGGTGATTGACGTGTAACTTCTTTTCAGGATACTGATACATTGTCCATCAAATATATGAAGAGCTTGAGAGTCAAAGCAGCACTTAATCATAACTAATTGAGTGGTAAATGTGTGGTAACTAGCAGGGAGAATTGCACTTTAATTTTTTAGAGTAAAAGGGTCAATGCAGGGTTCTGAATGATAGTTCAAGTGTTTTACTGACCATCTTGTGTGCATGCTCCAATCAAATTCACAAGGTTCGGATGGTGTCCTACGTTGGCCATGATTTCCAACTCATTGTACAAGTCTTTCCTTTCCACCTTTGTGGCAGATGCTGTTTCATAGAACAAGAGTGAAATTTGGTGACATTTAAAACAAGTTTATATATGTAACTTATGTGAAGCTCACAAGAGCTTTTGGTTATTCATAGAAATACAAAGAACATAAAAGTTCCCATAAAAGTATCACTTGGCTATGTGAAAATCGCAATTTGTGACCGTTACCGGAAAGAGACTGTGATGCAATTTGTGATGTCACCGGAAAGAGACTGCCAGCGAGTCAGCGGGTCAACTGGCTGAATGACTGACTAACTGGCTGGTTGGCTGGCTGACTGGCAAACTGGCTAGCTGACTGACTGGCTGCCTGACTGACTGACTGGCTGACTGGCTGGCTTGGTGACCGGTTTACCGACTGACTGACTGACTGGCTGGCTGGCTAGCTGACTGGCAGACTAGCTGACTGGCTGACTGGCTGACTGACTGAATGGCTGGCTGGTAGGCTTTCTAGCTGGCTGTCTGGCTGAATAATTGACAGACTGTCTTAATTACTAGTTGATTGGCTGACTAGCTCGCTGACTGACTGATTAACAAACTGGCTGACTGACGAACTGACTAACTGACTGCCTGTCTGACTGATTGACCGACTAACTCATCAAAACTGACAAGCTGATTGACTAACACGCTACGCGTGAACCTTGCATACGAGACTTACGTTTTAAGGTTTTTACTGCGCAAGGAATGATATTCCCGTTCTCTTGTTGCAGCTCTCCTTTAAAAACGATGCCGAATGCTCCCGAACCTAGTTCATCCAACAGTTTGATATTCTCGTGCGGAAACTCTTCCCAGTTCATCTCACCCGGCTTGTAAGCAGTGTTTTTAAACGAGTATGTCAATCCTTTAACATTCTCCCCATGGTAAGCTGCTACTTCGCCCTGAAAGTCAAAATATGCGTGGACAGTGATTTCATATCAAGGATGGTGTGATTTTAGTTAAATGGCAGGGATAGGTCGACAGAACCTTTCGTAATGTGCGGTAAATTTCTTATAGAGATATGATCAATGGAGTGTCCAAAGTAATCTGGGATTTCTTTGATTTTGCCTTGCTCCGCTGAGTGACTGGTCCAGAAAACTCGCAGCTGGTCCAGAAAACTCGAAGCACTCTCTTGAACGAGCTTAAAGCAGCTCGCTTGTTTTAACGTTGAGTTCTCATCCTCGTGAAATTTTCCTTTGTCATGATAGGTTGCTGTGATTACTTTGGTTTTGATTTTTCGATTTTTGATGGAATGCTCTCATTGCATGCAACTATAGAAAGGTATCCGGTTTATTTTATATAGGATTAACGCAATAAGTTTATCTGTTGTAATGGTACCTTATGAGACCCGGTTTGGTTTTCAAGAGCTCGAAACCGAGCCTCTGTTTGCTCTCTTCTGTCCCGCGCTCTCCTGCGTCTGTATATAATAATGCCGATGAGTATGCCAAGAATCAAGAGGACACCTAACACGGCCAAGACAATAATCCACCAGGCAAAAGCTGTAATAAAAAAGAATGTGTGATATCAGAATTAAAGCCACACATGACATTTTCGACCTTTTAAAGGAATGGCCATAGGTAAGACGTAAGGCGTAAGATTGCGGGTACGATTTCCTTTGCTGTAAAGTGTATGTAGCAATGCAGTGTTACAATCGCTTGTTAAAAGCTGACTTTAATTCAAACTATCCCTCCCTACTTTCGGAACATGGTGATTCATCGAAATTTTAAAATAGGAAGACTAAATTTCCAGCATGAGTTTGCCAGAGTGTTCTGATGCTTAAAAATTGCGAAGGTACGACAGTAATACATAGACATAAAGATAAAAAATTATCTGTGATCAAGTTTCCAGCAAAAATATGAGCGAGACGTCACGTGTTTAGGTTAAAAAATTACTAATGAAAAATCTTTAATTTCACAAAAAACCTGTAGACAACTTTGTCAATTTTTAGAAATTACTTCAATAATTAAAAACGGCTTACGTGCGGGTTCAGTCTCGTGGCCAGTTTCCTCGTTGAAATTGGATCCATAAGTGTTAACTGCACCGACCCGTATCATGTAAACAGTCTCAGATTCGAGAGACTTAATCCTGTAAGAGTAGTCTGCATTTTCAGTGTTAGCTGTTT